TCAGGAGGGACTAGTTCCCGGAAAAGGGCGTCATGCTTGGAAAAGTGGAGGGCGGTGTAAGAGAGGAAGCCCCCGGCAAGACAGACTGACAGTGCGGCTGCAACCATGGGCTGGAGCACAGGGGCAATGGTGAGGGTGGAGAGGGCTGGGCAGTGCTTTGTGCTGTTGGGCAGAAGGTCACTAAGGGTTGGAAGTAACTCAGTGGCACCTAACAACAACAACAACAACAACAACAACAACAAAAAGAGCAGCAGCTGCCTTTCAGAAGCAGATTGCCGGGGCTTTTTTCTGAGATGCCTCTGGGTGGATTTGAACCGCCTATCTTTTGGTTAGCAGCCTAGCACGTTCACCCGTTCCACCACCCAGGGACACACAGTGCTCCCTGCATTAGTTGTGAACTCATTGTATTCTGCACCAAAAGTTGAACCTTAACCTTGGCCAAGAAACAGGAGCTGAAAGGTCAGAGGCCTTGAGGGAGTTAATGCAGCAGGCCATGGCGGGGGCCCCCTGTATGCAGGGCCCTGGCAGGTGGCCACCGACCCCGTCTCCTCAGTGTCCAGTCCTGGTCCCCGCAGCCCTCCTGGCTACTTCACCACTGCCTGACCACCAGCTGCTGAGCCAGCAGCAGCAGAGAGGCCATCGATCCAAGAGACAGATGGCGAGTCGGTCTGGAAACCCGAGCCACATCTGTATCACAAAGCCACGCTGTGCCTGCGGGCAGCATGATGAGCTGCCACAGAGCCGAGGAGGCTCCGAGCTAGCTTCCAGAGCCACTGCCCCTCAAGGTCGCCTGGGGAGTCCCCTTCCCAAGGTTCTGATTCCATAAGTCCAACAGGGGGGTCTGGGGTGAAGGCCAGGTGAACCATGCCCTTCTCTGACCCAGAAGCTCCCCAGGCCTCTCGGCGTTGGCGTCTTGTAGCAGAGCACTGGCCGCTTGTCTAACAGCCAAATCAATACCTGCACAATGACGAGGCTTGGGAGACCGAAAGAGCCACATCAGGCAAAAGCGCCCTCTCCCTCCCCAGAAAGGGCCGGCTGGTTCCGGCCCTTTTCCCGATTGCACACTTGCCTTGGTGGTGGGACGCTGTCCGTTTCGACTCATAGCGACCCCAGGTGAGCGAGCGGGACTGCCCCGAGGTTTTCAAGGCTGAGATCTCGACGGAAGCGGGTGGCCAGGTCTTCCTCCTGCGGAACCACTGGGTGGGGTCCAACAGCTAGCCTCCCAGTTAGCGCTTAACCACTGTGCCACCAGGCCTCCTTAGGCACACATCTTGTGTCATCTAGTGTTTGGTTTTGCCCTGTGTTTCAATGGCCTTTTCAGGGAAGGGGATCATCCCAATACATGATGTTCCTCTTCAGTAGCGTTTGTTTTATTTTCCCTGAAGTGTGCCAAAATATGGTTCACAATGCCAGCAGACAGCCTTGGTGACCATTGTAGGGGTACAGGTCAGCGACCTTCACCACATTCCGCACGCTGGGCAACCAAGCGTTCATCATCCCAGTAAGTAATAATTCCTTTCCCAAGGCCTGGCTCCTCATTCCCATGGTCAGTTCCCACTCACCCGGACCCTGGGTGTGTCCGAGGACTGGCCTCCAGGGCTCTGATCTTTTGGAGGGAGATGGCCAGGGCTTTCTTCCAAGGAATTCGAGCCACGTAGTTGATGTTTTCTGCGGATGTTGGTAACCACTGCTGAGCCGACGCCTGGTTCATGGTGATCCAGGAGCAACGGAATGACCCCCTGCCTCCGCCTGCACCCTCCCCACGGTGGGCTGAGGGTCCGGCCTCTGTGGTCCGCAGCCTTCATCGGCTGCTTTGCAGAAGAAGGTCATCAGGCCTTTCTTCTCAGTCCCTCTCCATCTGGAAGCCCTGCCGACGCCTGCAGAACACCAGAGTAACACACAGCTCTCGCCTGGCAGACGGCGGTGACTGCTCGTGCGGAACCCTGGCTGGGAACGGAACCCCTGTCTCCCTCAGGGAAGGCAAACAATTCTACCTCTGAGCCATCCATGTTCCCAACGTGTAGGTCGCCGGTCAGAGCGTAAAACGAAACGAGAAAGACCCTTCACTTAACACAATACATCCCAAATGTGGTCATTTCACTGTGCAGTCGACTTACAAATTACAGGTGAGATATTGCACATTCTCTTCTGGAGCAAACAGATCTTTGAAGTCCAATATTTGTCAGGGTCCGCATGTTTCCACGTGGACTAATCATGTTTCCAGTGTGCAACCGCCACGTGTGGCCAGGGCTGTGGTGTCAGACAGCACACACCTAGCAGTCTCCTCAAGGACCAATGGTCGAATGTGACCACTGTGCTTCAGGAAATGGGTTGGTCGCCTGGGTTCTTGTCCGGCACGGCGTCCCCAGCTGCCTCTCATTCATCCTCACATGCCCTGTCTTCTTCTTCTTTTTGGTGACACTCTTTTATGTTCTCAGTGTCATGAACTTGGATATGCCCTCCAAGAAGGTATACTGAAGTCCTAAGCCCTGGCACCTGGGAAGGTGACCTTATTTGGAAGCAGGGCCCCTGCAGACAACTTGTCAAGCTGAGATGAGGTTATATTGGATTAGGGTGAACCCTAACCTCGACGGGTGGCCTCATGGGAAATGAGCAGGAGCTTTGGACACAGCAAGGGGAGGCCATGGACACAGGTGGAGATTGGCGTTAGGAATCATGGGAGCCATCTGAACTGGCAGAAGG